GAGAGAGAGAGAGAGAGAGAGAGAGAGAGAGAGAGAGAGAGAGAGAGAACAAAGCTCCACTCTCCTCTGCTTCCCCTTACACCATCCAGTACAGTTGCTCAGTTTACTGAACATGCACATACATCTTGCCTTCTTCCCCTCACCTATGTTCACTTCCTTCCCTGCAGGTCAGACCCAAATGCACATCCTAGAATATGGTCCAGTCCAAATCTTAGCACCACCTCCTTGATGCTGCCAACAGCTACTGAGGCAGGACCAGCCATGTCCTCACTTGACTTGCGTCCCACCCATACACACACACACACACACACACACACACACACACACACACACACACACACACACACACACGGAATGTGCACTCAACCACCACTTTGTATATCTTTTTTTTTTTTTAAAGGATCTTCTTTTTTTTTTTTTTAAAGATTTATTTAGTACATATACAGTGTTCTGCCTGCATGTATCCCTGCAGGCCAGATGAGGGCACCAGTTGTCATTACAGATGGTTGTGAGCCACTATATGGTTGCTGGGAATTGAACTCAGGACCTTTACAAGAACAGCCAGTGCTCTTAACCCCTGAGCCATCTCTCCAGCCCCACTTTGTATATCTTTTTCCTCTCCTAATATAAACCCTGATGCTTGAGCTATCTTTTAATTCCTGGGTCTCACTGGATCTTAAACAGAACTGGAGAGAAGTAAGCAGGTAAGGAAAAAATGATCACTGTATGATGTTAGCAGAAGAGGCTTTTGGAGAATGAGCTGTGTCTTCTGTTCTAAGTTGCCAACAAAAGAAAGGGGCAGAGAGAGCCCTTGAAGTCAACTCTCTTTGTCATTAAATCACCCTTGGAGATTCAAAGCCAAAACCCTGTCAAAGAACAGAAAGAATCAAGTGGAGGTTTTTACATTCAACCAAAAAAAAAAAAAAAAGCCCAACAAAATAAAAAATTTAATAATGTAAACCTTTTCTTTGTACATCACTCATTTGTGAGGCTCTTTCCCAGTTATTATCTCATCTTATTGTTATAAAAACTTTGTGAGATGTGTACACCAAACATAATTCACTCTGTAGGAAACAAACAAAAGACCCAGAGGTTCCCAAGGCTTGGCACTTTTTCCAGAGCCATTTGCTGAGCATGCAGGGCTCGAATATGGGTGTCCTTATTCTCTACCACAGACCTTCCTGCTGAAGCCCCTCAGCGCTGGCTAATGATGGTCAGCTGTAAACATCTGGATGGAGCCAGTGTGCAGAGCAGAGAAAAATGTCTTTGAGTTGGACGGCCCTGGATTCAATCCTCTCTCCCGCTCAAGTTTCTAAGCACAGAACAGTCTCTACTTTCCGGAGCCCCTGTTATAAATGTGGCCACTGCCACA